CGCGCGGGGGGGGGGGGGGGGGGGGGCGGGTATTGCTGCAGTGCGTGCTGTTCCCATTCGCCAGCTTTACAGAACGTTCATACGAGCAGCATTGTGCCAGTGTTACCGGGGCTTAGCTTAACAACGATGGTCAATGAATCCCTGTCTTTATGTCAACATAGGATCTTACCAGTGTGGCCTTTGCCTAGTAATATCGAGGTTTTGCAGGTTAAAATATAACGTTTTAGCTATGACATTACACTTCAGTTTGCCCGCTCAGACACAATCAGACCTGGTTCAATCCTGCGTTTCCAAGAACGCAGGGTAATTTGTGCAAGGCCGCCTCACATTTGTGGAAATGCACACAAACGCCGGCAAGTTGCGCGTTTCAGCACGTGCAAATGCAGCAACAAAATATGCGTGCCATGCGTTGCACAAAATACTGCAGGAGCCTGTTTGCCACCTGTATATGACCCCACTGAAATCTATGGGGCAACGCGGCATGCAAATGCGCCGGAGCGCACGTTCCCAGGACGCGCAGGTCTGAACCAGACCTCACATTGTTGTGGTGCGTTTTAAGATGAGAGGGTCCGTTCACCTCTGTGTGCTACATTTAACGCACGTTATTGCACAGTGCACCAAGCATGCTTTACTATGTGCTAGGCCTATTGCATTGGCATGCATGCACTACTTTTTTTCACTGAAAAGCATGGTATTGTGGTACTACGGGTTGTGCAGCACACCAGAGCTGTAGCTAGCTCCTTTTGCGCCCGAGGCATGACCAGACAATTGTGCCCCCCAACAGATGTTTGCGGTATGTGATGTCATGTGCCCCGCCTCCAGGATAGCAAAACAAATGGCAAACGCACTCATCAATTCGTCATCAGCTTTACAGCAAGGTGCACATGGAAGGGAGAGCAGCGGGGATTGGGGGAGAACCTGGAGCCTGTGCCGCTCCTCTTCTCCCTGCCAGGCTGCGGCTATGTTGGCGGCCTGGCGCCTGTGATGCGTATGGCGCCCTGTGCTCGCCGGGGCGAGGGGGCACAGCCAGGCTGGTCCTGGCTGCGCCCCCTCTCAGCTGTGCCTGAGGCGAGTGCCTCACTCGCCCCATGGGAGCTACAGCCCTGCAGCACACAGCCCCTGGGAGGTGCTTTTGGGTCCCATTCAAATGAATGACAATGCAATGCACCTATTGCATGGTATAGTGTGCTATGTGATTTGTGCTATGGTATGAACGGGCCCTTAGGGCTCATTCACGGTTGCGTTGTCAAACTTGCCTTTATAGCACATTTCTAAATGCATAGAGATGAATGTAATTGATTTTCAATGTTATTCAGACATTGCATTTACCTGCCTTTAGGGTCATTCAGTTGAGCTATGTTTGGAGAAAACAGAATTCTGTGCAACCAGGGCTGGATTATGAATTCTAAACGCATATCTAAACTGTGTTTACATAAGTGTGAATGACCCCTTAATGCATGTTGTGGTAAGACAGCCATTTTTGGTATTTTTCAATGCAGTGCACCACAATTTTTCACATCGGTACATTGCAGTGCGCTGAAATACGTTTGTTGTGGTCCGCTGGCAAGGTGCTTTGGGGTGCCATTGAAAATGACACATGTTGTACCACTTGTTACCTCAATGCACAGGTTTAAATAGAGCTTAAGCGCCCATGCACACAAGGGAAGTTAATTTAGCACATGCACATTAAGTCACACGTTAGCATACGTTGTGTTAAAGTAGCTTTTCATTTGAATGGGCTGCCCAATGCACTACAATGGACCAAAAATGGCTCCTGCAACATTGTTCTCAGTGCACTGCAATACACGTAAGTCCCTGTTCACACCAAGGCGTTTTGTCTCTCGAAAGTAAGCGTGACAAAAAGCTCAAAACAAGGAATCCCAAAGGAAGCCTAAGTGTTACCGCACATTGCGGTGTGCTTCACAATAAATGACACTGCAGCACACCAACAGTCATAACATATGTTATAACAAGGCACGTTACTGCAGCACAGTGGTGTGAATAGCCAGTAAAGCACTCATTCTCCCTCTGTGTTGTGGGTGCGGTGCAATGGAACAATAGTAGGGTGGTTTCCAATGGCCACTTCTCCAAACTAATACTATTAGACCTTTCTGTTGCTTTTGATACAGTTGACCACCCACTCCTCCCAAAAAAATTACACTACCTTGGCCTTTAAGACTTCTTCCTTGCTCTCCTGCTAAGAGCTCATCCATCTCTACCTCCTTCTCTCCTTTTCCTCTCTGTGTAGGGGTCCCCCAAGGCTGTGTCCTTAGATCCCTTCTATTCTCTATCTACACCTCCTCCCTTGGGTTATTAGCCTCTTATGGCTTCCAATACCATCTCTACACCAACAACACTCAAATCTATCTCTGTACACCTCAGCTCAACCCTTTGTCTCCTCGTACACTACTAATGTACTAAGTGACAAATCACTGAGGAGCCGCTGTCATCCTGTCAGTTTCAGGATGACAGTGGCTCTGTGCATGGCTGAGCGGAGGATCAGTAAATATCAGTTATACTTACCGATCCTCTGTGTGCAGAGCAAACACTGGAGTGATTATTTGATTTGGTCCCCAGTTATGAATGAACAGGAAGTGCTTTATATCACTTCCTGTTAATTTATGACTTACTCAATGGGGAGAAGCACTCACTACAGAGGCTTCTACCCATTCATAAACTGGTGATAGTAAATGGTGATGGCCTCTGTACTGAGAACTTTGCATTCATTTATAACAGACACTGCAGAAAAAGAGAATGAGGACTCTGTGTTCTCATTTTCTTTTTCTATTTTAAAAGGGAAATATCAGGGGTCTGTTTATCACAATGAAAAAGAGTGACCAGCACTCCATTAAAGATAAAAGAATCAGCATGATTTTATCTTCATAACATGCACTGGCATCCCCTCACCCAATTAATAAAATTTTAAATACTATCAACAACATACAAAGCCATCCATAACTCTCCCTCTGGCTACATCACCAACCTCATCTCAAAATATCACCCAAACTATCCTCTTCCAATGACCTCCTGCTCTCTAGGTTCCTCATCACCTCCTCCCATGTTCACCTCCAGGGCTTCTCCCATCATGGAACTCCCTACCCCATGTTCACCTCCAGGGCTTCTCCCATCATTTGGAACTCCGTACCCCAATCCCTACTCTGTCTGCCTTTAGGCGAAATCTTAAAACTCTTCTATTCAGGAAAGCCTATCCTACCTCTACCTAATAACTGATATTTTACTATCCCGGTCAACTCATCCCCACACAATTACTACCTTTCGTACGACATTCCCTTTTTAGATTGCAAGCTCTCCTAATCATCTGATCTTGTATTGTAACTGTAATGTCTTCCGTTATATTGTTAAGCCCTGCGCAAACTGTTGGGATACAAGTCACATCCCCTCACTTGTAGTCCATTGACACTTCGTACCGTCCATGTTACTGAATGTCCATACCTCCGTCATGTAAGGGAGAGAGAAGCTGCAAGGGCCAGAGTATTGCACCTGTGATCCACTGATCACAGTTGCAATGCTTTACTGGCTCCAATGCAATAAATAATGCATGCACATTTTTTCTTTTATGAAGACGTGTGCATTTATCATTTTTCTTCTAAACGGTGGGCTTTCAAATTAAATGAGTTGACTCAATAATGACAAGGACGAACGCTCTGCTGAATGATTTGAAATGAACGTTCAAATAAAATTCTGGCAGCGTATGGCCAGCTTTCCTGTAATAACCATGCATGCATATTTGTGTTTACAACCCCCAGCATTGTAAATCCTGCTTGCATTTCAAAGAATCATTTGCTAACTTTCAGTTACACAACAGGTACTTGTCTGGAGCATATGAATGCTTATGGTAATGATAGACTTTATAGTAAATATAGTATATACTGTATAGATGCCCTTTTTAATCATTACAAATTATGGGAAGGGATCTGTTGCTGACCATAGATATGAAATCGTCATTCAGAAATCAGCAAGATCAGGAGATGACCATCTTATATCTATGACCAGCTTTACACCTTTTGTGCACAGCTTGCACTGCTTTCCATTCTTTTGTGTTAACAGGAAATCATGTGGATCACACTATGTACGTGAGTTTGCACGTGTATAGTTTAGATGCCACCTGATGTTTGTAGTAGGCGTGTGTAGTACTTTCCATTTCAACACACCCAGCTATTTATATAGAGTACATACTGACCTTTTCTGGAAATATACCAAATTAAGGATCCACAATGCAATGTTATTCAATTTTCACTGATCATATCAGGTACTGGAGGCATTGTTGCTGGGATGGCATTTTTTCTTTTACACTTTTTGGTGTATATATCTAGTCAAAACCTTTGCATATTGTACCCGTCTACAATGTATATTATTATTATTATACAAGATTTATATAGCGCCAACAGTTTGCGCAGCGCTTAGAAACAAAATCTGTTTCAGAGGTCTTATGAGCTGCTATAATTGACCCTCATACTGATTTTAATATCTGTTTATTTCTACTAAGCCTTTAATATGCAGTTAAGGCATTTTTAAAGTTAAGATTAAGTAGATTCTCATGTTACAATCCAATCAGAGATATATACAGTATTTATTTTTGTTTAATATATATTATATATTTTATACTATGCCTGGCCAAAAAAAGTCACCACCTGGATTTAGCTAACCAGATAGGCAATTCCATTGGATAATATGCCTAGGTTCATCAATGTTATGTCCCCAAAAAAT